ATATAATAGATGGAGGCTCTGAAAGAGCCCCTGAGGGCACCATAACCGTCCCGCCCGTGCCAAATATTATGAATACATTAGGTGGGAAATGCATGGTGAAAGCAAACTATCGTTTCAGAGACATTTACTGCTGTAGTACAGGGTGGTCAAAAAAACAACAACAACTGTACAACTTTTTTTCTAAATATCTTGCTCAAAATTTGTTCTAGAATGTTGTAATTTGTTCCAAATTCATTCAAAAGGAATTAGTTTGACATAAAATTCACAAAGAAGAAACTTATTTTCGAAAAAGGAAATGGCTTTTATAAAAACGACCTAAAAATGCTAAATGCACCAATTTAAAAGATCTTGTAAAGAAAGTCGTAAAATGATTGGTTTGTTTCTTCCTTTCCTTTTATTTTTAAAATCTCATCTGTCCATCCCTGTAACGTTTAAACAACATTTCTACTGTCCTAGTTTTTTGTTGGGTTTTTTTATTCTGGAATTCTGAGAACCAATGGCCTAAGTGTCCTCCTTTGGACCCGGCACATTTATCTCGGCGTTCGTAATATTCAGTGGTGGCCAAACAATAGGATCCACTCAGCCATGAGTGCTCAAAGTCACGCACACTGTACGCCTTACACAGTATGGAGCTGTTTCTAGAGACTATATGGGGGGGGGGAGGGGGGGGCAAATAGACAACATTTGTGGAGTTTATATAACCTGAAAGGAGAGAGCTTTGCCAAGGAACCAAATGTCATAGAGGAAATGTTCACGCTTTTCAAGACGATCGAGGAATCATGAACACATTGCTATCCTCTGATACGAGGCTTGGCGAACGGGAAAAAGATACAGTCGTAGATGTAGATTTGCCTTCAGAAAGCGGACCTTTGAGATGTAGGAAAGTCCTATCTGCAGACATTTTCTACGGACAGACGTCTCATGGGGCTCATCTACTGAATTCTGCACCCTGGTGACGTTTAAAGGGGTGCGAACGGTGTGTGTTGCACCTGAAGTGGTCTTTTTGTCTGGGAATGTTTTGTTCTGATTCTCTGCAGGTCCTAGTTGATGGACCATTTCCACCCTTGACACCACTTTAACATAATTTCCGTACCTTGTGCGAAACTTACGAAATGAGTTGGTGGTGGGGAAATATTCAATACAAAAAACTCTCTGCTCTTTACTCATTTTGATCATGATCTTAGCATCCAAAAGAAACTTGAAAAAAACTATCTGCAAACTTCTGCCGACCTGTAAGACAACTGCAATTTGCAATATGGCGCAATCGTTGGGATTTTTAGTGGTAGGCCTAATGCGAACTTGTGCGTCATGCTACGAAATTGGGGACACAGCTGAAAAGGGGTTGTTTTTTTACGCACTATGTAGAGCAAAACTATTCTGTGGATTTATCTAAAATGAATATCAGACAAATTGCTTTCGACTTCCAAATGTTGTGTACAAATTTAAAACGCAAAACTTCAGTGTGGAGGAAAATAATTTTTTTTTTTAATTGTACCAGTTTTTGTTTTTTTCTATCACCCTATACAAAGTACGTAAATTAATTTATTTTGGATACTTTTAACACACTACCATTCTTTTGTTCTTAATTTTTTGAAAATCTTAGTTTTAATAAGAATTTTATGGCATCAGCAACTCAGAAGTGATATAAGTGCTGAAGATTAGAAATGTTACTAGAGAGTAACAAACACAGTAAAAGATGATAGTGCGCCAATTGGTGTTTGAGGAAGGAGGGAGCAAACTATACTAGAGTACCCACCAACCACCCCCTTTGGAAATAGATCTATATATTGTTATTTTACTGTCTTATTTTTGGCTGGTCACTTTTAACAGCCCCACCTACAACGCTTTCTTCTCAGGTCTCTCACATTCACGGTCACTCACATTCACGGTCGCTCACATTCACGGTCTCTCGCATTCACGGTCGCTCTGAAACTGAAAATACGAGCATTCCTAGTCCAAGCTGAAAACCTTTTCACTGTCACGTTCAAGGTCAAGATGAAACAAAACTAGAATCTTGCTGAACGCTAAAATAAGATACCCCATATATGCGCACAACTGTAATCCTTAGAACTGAGAAAAGTGTAGAAATAGTAAATCCAAACGAAAATAAGTGCCTGTACGTCCAAGAGCAATGATAACAATGCAGAGACTGTGAGACCGACCACTATAGGCTAGACTATCATACTCGTAATACAAAAACTACACGTCAGTCGGTTCTTCGCAGTGAGAATGCCCCAGCACCCCTTTCAGCACATTAAAATTTGTGTATTGCCGCTTTTCGCATTGACCTTGTTCACCCCACCCAGACTCACGGTGGCCGTAACCCAGAGTAACAGGCCCACATTGCTGGAGCCATCCGGCTGGGTTATCTGGCCTGTCACATGTACTCAGAAAGCCTAGATCTCAGTGGTTACGAATATCTTTCCTCTCTTTTTCCCGACATGTCATGTTCTTATTGATCTCTGACAATTTGATATTTCAGGAGATCTCAGATTCCAAGAGCCAGAACCCATGGACAGCTGGTCAGAAAGGAGAGACGCTCTTAGGTTCGCCAACCAGTGCCCCCAGAGAGAGCTGGTCTGGTACACTGCCATCAAGAACCACCCAGAGGGCGAAGACTGTCTTTATCTTAATGTCTACACTCCTGCCCAAGCCGACGAGAACACACGAGACGCCAGCACGTCTCACAACTCAGACAATTCGATACGGAATCAAGTAAAGTCGCAGGCCCCCGCAAGGATACAGAAAACCCAGGCTGGCCATGCTATTAATAGCAACCCGCCAAGACGACGACAAGATAGGCTCCTGAATTTCCGCCAAAATCAGCTACTCCCCGTGGTGGTTTGGATTCACGGCGGTGGGTACATGATGGGGGCAGGGACGCAGTCTGGTGGTGCGCTTCTCGCCAGGAGGGGTGTCGTGGTGGTCACTTTCAATTACAGACTAGACATTTTGGGCTTCTTGTCCATGGAGGATGGCGTTCTGCCTGGGAATTATGGCATGATGGATCAGGTTCAAGCACTGAAGTGGGTCAAGGAGAATATCGCGTCTTTTGGCGGTGACCCAAATAAAGTCACTATATTCGGACTGAGCGCTGGGTCTTCCAGTGTCTCTCTTCACACCATTTCCCCGTTGAGTAAAGGTTTGTTTCGCAGAGCGATTATGCAGAGCGGAGCGTCTCTGTGCCCATGGGCTGTTTCTCACCCAGTGAGCAGACTTAGCTCAACGATACTCACTCGGCTTGTCGGAGCTAAGGTTAGCTGCAAGGATATCTGGGACTCACTAAAAATGCTCAAGTGTCTGCAGCAAGTTGATGTGGAAATGCTGTTGAACGCCACGGACGAATTGAGACATGACCTTCGTATGGACGACACACTGTTTATGCCCAGGGTGGAGACCACGTTTGGTTTCTTGCCAGACTTCCCTTTGCGTTTGTTCGCCGAAGGCCTCGACAATGACGTCAGCACTATGCGAGGTTTCACGTCAGACGAAAACTCCATGTTTGTGTGGGATCCGGAAGACAAAGGAACAACAGTGCAACAGTTTGAAGACTTTGTTGGCAGTATGGTGTCTTCATTGTATGGCATCCGAAACCCGGGGTATTTCGAAGACGCTCTAAGTCACCTATACCTCAACGAATCCTCCCCAGATCCACACTACACACGCTCTCAGCTTATCTCCGTGTTGTCTGACTTCACGATGATAGCACCAAGTCTTTTGGAGATCAACTTTCTAACAGACGGTAGGATAAAGAGAAACTCTAGCCGAAACCACTATCTTTATGAGTTCAACTACAGACCTGAGTATTCCAATCAGGAGTTGTGGCGAGGTGTTGTGCATGGACAAGAACGTCCTTTTGTGTTCGGAATCGACGACGAACGCTTCAAAGTTTACGTCACGAATATCTCCGAATTTGACCGAACAATGGGAGACAAAGTTCAAACTTGGTGGACAAACTTTGCAAAATATGGAAATCCTAACGGCTTAGACGAAGACACACAAAATCACATGTCCTGGAAACCATACAAAGAAGAACTTCCGTACCTGTACCTAATCAACAACGACTCTAGACTGGTTGAGTACAACAAGCCCGAAGTAAGCAAACTCTATTTAGAAATGGCTCAGCAGTTGGACATGGATGTGGATACTGACAAAGACGAAATAAAGGACGGGGCTAAAACGGTGTGTGGTTCAGGGCCAAATGCTGCTCCTGCTGCTACAATGTTACCGGCATGGATCCTTACACTTCTGGCAATGGGCGTCTGCTGGTACCTCCTTCCTCGCTAACCGATGGGCTTGCAGACGGATTGAGCCTTCATTTCTCAAGAAGACTTATATTGTCATTTTCTTACAAAGGACAAGAAATGCACATTATAGGGCGCTTAAACACACGCGCGCGCGCGCGCGCACACACACACACACACACACACACACACACACACACACACACACACACACACACACACACACACACACACAC